GCATACTGACAAACAAAGCTCCAAACTTCAGGGTCACTAAAGCTTGCAGCTGCCATCATCGTTTCTGTTGCAGTCACATTGAAAGTGTATGCTTTGATTGCCACAGCTGTGGCATTCGCTTGTCCATAATTGAGAACGACTGGTGATCCAAGATTTCCCTGTAAAGTCAGCAATATTTTGATTGAATGCATCTTCAACCCGAGAAAAAGCACTTCATCTTATTTCAAGAACAATAGAAGCCATTGAAATTCCTTTGGAAGATTGTTGTAAAAAAAAAATTCATGGATGAGCACATTGAATGCAGCAGCTCAGTTGTAATTTTCTAATGGTGCAGCCTAGAGAAATACTCTTTACCAGTTCTTTCACAGTACACAATTTCAAATTTGTTCTGGTAGATGATCCATTACAATGTCAGAACCAAGGCAAGTGGATGTAGTACTGTAGTGAGGCCATGACATGCAGACAGGCAGACAGATGTACAATCCAACTAAGGGACACTTGACACTCGAAATAATTCCACCCACCATCTGGACATTGCTGACATTTTCCAGGAAAAGCAAAAAATGTTACTTCAATTTTAATACCCAAAATTCAATAAATTTAGCTAGTTATGTTCACAAATATTGAAAATGCATCTCTTAATAAATGTCCTCTAATTCATAATCAAAAACATGCTGGTTTTTTTCAGTTTTCTTTCTGACATCCGTGCACATAGATCAAGACTTGTTCTTGTTTTACCATTTTCAGCTCCTTTTTGATGCCAAAGCAGAGATTCTTTACTGCGCATTTTTTTCTGTAACTTGACGTTGATGGGAAAATTCTCAAATTTTACTTATTCTCAATTCTTGATAAAAATGACAACCAATTGAATACACCTGCATTCAGGTCTATGGAATGAAAACAAGGTTTTACATGCAATAAGAATCCACCATAAGGACAAAGACCAATAAGTACCAATTACAGACCCTTCATCTCAGGGTCTCAATTTGCATATTGATAGTCCTATAGCTACAGTGAAACACTGTCTCCTCAGAACACAGCTGGAGACCTTGAAAATCATAGAAATGACTCACCCTGTCATTCACATCAAAAGCGCTTCTGTTGGACAGCTGGAAACAGTTTGTGGAATCCTTGCTGAATAAAGCTGAGGGACACTGCACACGAAGGTACTGTGCTCTAATCAAGATATTATCTCCCTCTGTAATGAAGATTAATGGAGAATGAGTGATGAGTATGAGTCTTCATGAGTATGCAAACTTGGCTGCAGCACTCACGGCCAGATTTAACCCAATCAAAGACTGCAACCTCAGTCCCGATGCTAACTCCAGGGGTGCATTGAATAGGAAGAGGGGTGTTTTTGACATCTGAGGGCAGCTGCACAATGGCTACCTCCCGTTTCACCGAGTCATCATCAGGAATCACCTTTCCAGACGAATTATAATTCGGGTGAAGAATGATGTTCGAAGATGAAAGGCCAGTGATAAACTGCTCATCAGCTGTGTTTGGAGCAAATAATCCATTTAATGCATATATGTCCTTCAATGCATTGCCTTGGCCGGTCCATTTCCTTCCTAGGAGAGCCTCGACGGTACACAGGACATGTCTGTAGCAAAAGAACCAGAATCAGCTTGTACCTCAACGAAGAGCAGCACTTTTTATAAACAAGGGAAGGCGAAACGTTGACTGAGTGCTGAGCTTGTTTTCTTCTCTTTTCAACTTTTCCTCATTCTCCTTTGTCTTAAAAAATCGAATCATCAATTTTCTGTGACGACCTCCGGAAAAATCGTTCAAATAACTATAAACATGGGAAAACTCTGAAGTTTTAGAGAAAACCCCTTGATTCAAAAAAAATAATCAACAGTCAACACTACAATATTTTTTAGTGGTTGGAGATTTTCCAAAGAAAAAAGTCAAAGCGTGGAAATTGAAAGCTGAAAGAGGATTTCGATTTTTCCATAATTTGAATTTACTTTTGAATTTTGAGCCGAATTTGTGGTCTGTTTTGGAATAGAACGTCATAGAAAATGAAATGTTTCAATTTCTAAATTCCTTTGTGCTTCGGGGAATAGAGAAGCATCATTCAAAATAAATGATTGTACAATTTATAATGATATGTTTGAAAGTTATTTTTCCCCAGGATTTTCAATGCTCATGGACACTATAGTACTGCTGTACATGTATTTCCAAAATTCATGTTGTTTTTCCGATATGAACCTACGCATTGAATGGCCCGTTCATTTTTTTTTAAAATATTTTTCTTTGCATGCGCAAAATATTGTGGCACTTTTGGCTGTTCTCCTTGATTGCAGTGAATATCAGCCTTCGGTGTGCAAGCAGCCCACCAATGCATGGAAACCGAGAGAAACGTGCCGAACACAGCAATATAAAAATAAATATTCACTCCTTAAAACCTTGCTTGATTTAGATTGTATCCCTTCCTGATGGGACATTTTTCAGAGACAGATTCTTTTTAAAAGCTGTAGATATTCTGTACCTCTTTGAAATTAGGAGTCCAGGCATGCCCTCTACGGTGTCATCGTAAAACGCTACAATAATGATTGCAAGGTAAGGTGCCAGGGTGCTGCTGTTCGTCTCCAAAACGCCACCTTCCAACCTAGATTGGACCCTTCCATTCGAGAGCGCTGGTAACCCTTCCTTTGTTCTTGTTTCTGCCCCAAGAATTCCCTGCGCTTGGCCATCCTTTGCTGGATTGCTGATGGCCCGGCTGATGTCGCCCCTGGTTTTGTCATTTCTTGTGGCAGACCCTATGGTTTACTAAAAGTCATGCCAAGAGAAAAAAAAAATCCATGAAGATTTCAGGATAATCCCTGTTAAAAAAAAACAGGCGTTCTTCTGCTTACCGTTACTTCCCGAAATCAGCAACAGCAACAAGAGAAAGGGGATTCTCATCACCCCGGAAATTAAAAGTCCTCCCATGCCAATGAATCGTCTGAGGAAAATGTCCAGCTTTTATACTGCTTCCCGGGGAAATACCTGTGTAAGGTAAATGTTCTGAATAAAATTTACTTCCCTTTCTCAGCAGAAGATTGAAACGGAGTTGACTTTTGACGCATATACGCACCTCAATTGGAAGATATTTTGGAAATTGAATTCTGGTTTTGAAAATGAATTTCTTCGAAAAAATGAACAAGAAACAATTACCCGATTGAGAAAATTCTGATTTTTATTTTTTGAAAAAAAAATGTCACTTCATAATAACGAACCACCAAGTGAGCAGTAAAAGTTCCCAACTTAGGCCCTCCCAACCTGCTGGGTTCATTTCAGCAGTGACCTTTATTGGGTCAAACTGAAATGCCCCCCC